GGAAAGGCGGCCAACGGCTGCAGCTCGCCCTCGGGGTGCTGGGATGGCGTCGGGGTCCCGGGCTCCGGCGCCTGAGGACTCGGACCGAGCCATGAACCCCGGCAGGCGAGGCGAGAAGGCTGTCTCCGCGCTCAGCGGGGACGTGGCGGCGGCGGGGACCCTGAAGAGCAGCGCGTCCCCGGTGCGACCGGTGGTGGCCTCCTCTCGACCGGTGAAGGGGAAAGGGGGTCGGGAGGTGGCCCGGCGGCGGCTGCAGCTCCAGCCCGCGCCGCAGGCCGAGGGCCCGGGAGAGGGGGCCGCGGAGGAGGAGGAAGAGCCGCTGCCCTCGGTGCCCGAGGAGGAGGAAGGGGAGGCGCAGCCACTGCCCCGCGTCTGCGTGTCCGCCATGCGCGGCATGTGGCGGGAGGAGAAGGTGGCGCTCTACTGCGACGAGGTGCTGCAGGGCTGTAAGGTGAGAACGGGAGGAAAAGGACCGGAGTCCAGCGCAGGACCCTCGGAGGGGGCCCGCAGGGGAATTCGGGCCTAACCCTCGGGTGATGGCGGCACAGAGGCCACGAAGAAAGCCTGCGTTTCAAAAACTTAAATTTACTCAGCATTTACACGGCTTGCACCTTAGGTGCAGCCGGGCCCCGACCTGAAGGAGAAACAGATCTCCGGCAAACTGAAAATTCGTCACCTAAGGGAACAGCTCTGGTAGTGATTTTTCCGGAGCTTCTAAAAAATGAAGATAGGTCTTATCAATGCCCAGATGCATACCTTAGTTTCTTCACTTAATAATTTGCGCCCAAACGTCAGGGTAAGATCCCATCGCCTTGAGGTTTGTGCCGCAGCCCTGCAAACGCTCACACCCTGCGAGCGGCTGCGGCGCACGGGCGGAGGGTGTGGGATGAGGCTTCGCGCAGAACGTGCGTATCCGGTACCCGGCAACACCGAATAGAGCAAGTATTGTATGTTTCTGAGCTGATTTGCTTTTTAAAAAGTTACAGCAGCAGAATTTATGGACCAGCATATTCACTGCAGTGATGTTTATAAGAATGAAAGATTAGAAACTGCCCTGGCCAGTGTGGTTCAGTGGTTGAAGGCCGGCCCATGCGCCAAGAGCCCGAGGGTTCCATTCCCTGTCAGGGCACAGGCCTGGCTTTTGGCTAGATCCCCAGGAGAGGGCTTGCAGGAGGCAGTGGATCTAAGTGGCTCCCCCCCCTCCCTCTCCCTTCCTCTCTCTCTAAAATTAAATATATATATATAGCTTTAAAAATTAGAAAGGAATTTCCAACTAGGGGGCAGTAAAGAACTTGTGGCTTCACACATAATGGAAAACCATGCACCTGTAAAAACTGTGTTTTCAAGGACTGTAGATATGCTTATGCTATAATGTTAAGTAAAAAAAATCAGGAGATAAAACCCTGATTCATAGGTATGATGAATATGTGCATAGAAAAAAGGCTGAAAGGAAATACACCCAAATATCAACAATCGTTATATTCTGGCTGCCAAGATTAGGGGTGACTTTGTTTTCCTTATATTTTCTGTATTTTTCAGATTTTTCTATATCTTAACCATAAAATCTGAAAAAAAAAAAATTTTTTTTTTAAACACTGTTATAAAACTAGGGCAGTGTTAATGACCAGCTTTAATATTGAGGGTTGGAGAAGGCTAGGTCTCTTAAAGGTATTAAAAAACATTTATATAAATTATTGTGTCACTAATCAAACATGGTCAAATGACTAAATTTCATAATAGATTATCATCCTTGAAATAGCTGAATTTAAATTTTAAAAAATCAAATGGGTCCCGGCCGGCGTGGCTCAGTGGTTGAGCATCAACCTATAATCCAGGAGATTGTGATTTGATTTCCAGTCAGGGCACATGCCCGGGGTTGCAGGATCGATCCCCAGCAGGAGGTGTGCAGGAGGCAGCTGATCAGTGACTCATCATTGATGTTTCTGTCTCTCTTTCTCCTCCCTTCCTCTCTTGGAAATCAATAAAGATATATAAAAAAAATCAAATTGGAAAGTATTTATTGAATGTTTAATATGCTCATTTGTTATACAGAATGGAGTGCTATTTAAAATTTTTATGTATGGAATATGTTTTAAATAGTTAAGTCATTACATCATTAAAGTTCAGAAAAAATAACTATGTTTTTAAATATGATAATTACTATGTTTATATTTTTTATTAAATATAGATTCAGTTCAAATCTATTATTTCCCAGATTTTTCACCATTTAAGAGTATATTGGTTTCCATATTTAAAGTAGAAATCAGTAAAAAAATATATAAATCTAGAATTTCATATAATTTTACATATATATGTATTTTTTCTTTTGCTAGGCAGAAGATGCCGATGAGGCTATGAGTAACTACCTATCAGGAAAATTAAAGTTGAAAGACAAATGGCTTGGAGTCTGGAAGACTAATCCTGAGTTATTCTTTCTCAAATATGAAGAAGCTTCTATCCCTTTTGTTGGTATACTAGTTGAGGTAAATAATTTTGACCTGATCTTTGTTCGAGTGAAATTATCCGTTCTTTTTAAGACCAAAATAGGACCTTATTAATTTGGAGCTTTGGTACTTAAACAGAAGTTGGCAAAAGTTTACTTATATTTTAAGTTTCTAAGCAAATTAGTGTAAAAGGAAAGTAAGAGGGAATATTAGCACCCATTTACCTATAAACAGCTATCATTAAATATAATCTAGTATCAGACAGTATTTATTAGCCTAGTTTTAACTGCTCAAGTAATGTAAAAATAATAAAAATGTATTCTTAAAAATTAGTAATTTAGGTTTTAACAAATGGGCTTTTGCCATCATTCCCCTTCTTCATTTATCTCAATTATGATATTAGTTAGATTAGGAAAGAAAGAAATGGATCAGAAAAACATCAGTATAATTTGAAATGTTTTTTTATTATTATTAAAAGTACCTTTTAATATGATACATCAACTTCCAAGCCTTCATCTGATAAGATTTTGCTTTTCTATGCCTGTAGGTTAAATATTGTGGGATATATGATGTCATACATTTGATTCCCTTAAAGGTCAGTTATTCCTGTATGGAAGTAACATTTACAATCGCAAATGGTACCCCTGCCTCAGATTAGATATTTCAAATCTGTAGTTTTGTTCGCAAGAAAAACTTGTGTTTGCAACTCATAGCATCGCACACTACCTGAAAACAATTCAATTCTGTGTTCTATGGAAAAGTAAGTTACTGGTGTTTTTACAGATAAAGAACAGCATATTTTCAAATAGAGACTACCCTTGCCAAGTTGTATCAAGGCATACTAACCCCAACGCCAGANCAACTTGCCAAGTTGTATCAAGGCATACTAACCCCAACGCCAGAGTGCTGTTAGAGAAGACCTAGTGGGAAGCAGATGGGGAACTGGGTGGTAAGGAACTTCCCCTGCCTGCCCCACTCCTCAGCGTCAGTGTAGACTACATGGGAGACCTGGACTACCACCTNGAGACTACCCTTGCCAAGTTGTATCAAGGCATACTAACCCCAACGCCAGAGTGCTGTTAGAGAAGACCTAGTGGGAAGCAGATGGGGAACTGGGTGGTAAGGAACTTCCCCTGCCTGCCCCACTCCTCAGCGTCAGTGTAGACTACATGGGAGACCTGGACTACCACCTCGCCAGTAAGGAGGGACTCTATCCACTCCCTGCAAGGGTGGTGTCAGAAAAGGTCTAGTGGGGAACCCGAACTCCCACCTCTGAACAGCAGTAACAAAGAACACTCCCCAAAAAACAGGCTGAATGGAGAATCTGGACTTCCATCCCCACCAAGGTGGCAACCCCCTTTTTGTGCCAGATTGATGCCAGAAGGGACTGATAAAAGATTTAAATAGATCAATAATCTAATAGCATAGTACTCAGAATGTCCAGATTTTGATAGAAAATCATTTGTCACTTCTAAGAACCAAGAAGATCTTAACTTGAATAAAACAATAAGCACCAACACCAACATGATGGAATTTTCTGACAAGGATTGTAAAGCAGCTGTGAAAAAAATGCTTCAGTGAGCAATGACGAATGCATGTGAAACAAATGAAATAACAATCTCAGCAAACAAACAGAAAGTCTCTGCAAATAAATGAAAGGTACCCTGACTCTGCTTCTAGAATACAGGCAGTAAGGCATATCCCTCTAGGCATGAAAACTGGAAGATTTTTCTATGAATCAGCTCAGAAGAAAAGACCTAAAGATACGGATATGTGAAGTTCCCATTGAAAGTGCCTGGATAGAACATAAGACTAGAAAAAGATAGTTTCAATTATGTGAGATCTCAAAAGTCATGTCCAGTGTACCCCTCTCCGGAAGTTAATGGATGTTGTCTTCAGTCAAAGAAGTCAAGAAATATGAAGACATCAGATCCAGAATACAGAGGCCACATAAGAAAAAAGCAAAGGAATTCCCAGAATGATGGTGAAAAGATAACAGCTCTGCATGTAGCAGGCCTGAGAGCCAATTCAGATTGGAACTAGTCAGAGAACTCTGGAAAAGAGTGCTTCAAGAAAACGAAACTGGTATTTCATTTCAAACACAACCTATTGTATTTTGAACATATTGAAAGGAGATGTACACTACTGAGGGAATTTGGGGTTAAATTAATGAAAGGCGCACAGAAAACTGAGCCAAAAAATCAATACAATTATTGACTCCTGAGAAAACAAAAAGTTTGTTCAGGAAAGAAAAATGAATCAGCTTTCACTATATGGCTCACCTGTGAACGGCATTTTCAAACATATTAAGGTAAATGCTGAATACTAAGCTCTAACGACTTTGGTAGATGGAGGACTAGGAGAGTGTGGGTATTTGTGGTGGGGGTGAGGGAAAATGAAAGAGACAACTAAATTCTTATCTTTCAGAGTGAGAGGTCAATATATAATGCCAAAAACTGAGACAAAACTAAGTGGCAATATAAGGATATTATTTTAAAATAAAGAGGTAAATGTCAAAATAATCAGCTAAAAGAATTAAAAGTATTTGTCTCTGAAGAATAAGAATGAGAGGGTGGTAGGAGGTTGTCAAGAAATTCTATTTTTCATAACAAACCTAGTACAGCCATTTGATTCTAAACTGTATGCACGCATAATACTGATTTAAACAATCAAAACTAAAATTTTAAAATACGTATTTATTTTAGGCAACTTGTACACCACGCCAAAGCTCAACATCTTGTTTCAGAGTGACTGTTTCTGTTGCTGAGCCTTTTTCTTCTAATATTGCGAATATTCCAAGGGATTTGGTTAATGAGGTTTTAGAAGAACTAGAACATAGTGTGCCTCTTTTGGAAGTATACCCTGTTGAAGGACAAGATTCTGAAATACATGATATTGCTTTGGCCTTGGAAGTTGTAAGGTATTAGAGCTTTTTATTTCTGAAAGTTAAAATTATCATATTCAAAATTTTAATTTAATATAAGTTTTGTACATACAAGCACTTTGTGAATATTTATTGATTTAATTTTTACTCACTGAATTCAGTCTGTCCATTTTTAATGAATATATTTGTAACTCTTAGTTCAAACATTCTCTTATGAAGTATTATATATGGGCAATAAAAGTTTGCTATTTTTCAATCTTGCATTTTACAAAACTTGAAATAAATAATTCTAGCAATAAGTAATATTAAGTTCTGTTCATATTTAAGAATCTTAAATACATCAGATTTAATTTTTCACATTTAAGGACATTACAAATACTAGATGTCATTCATGTTATGATTGTTTCCTACAATCTGGTAAAATTTGAGACAAGCCATCCATAACTTCATACAGAATATTTTGGGGCATGTTTGTGTTTTTCTAATGCTTTCCTGCCCTCAATATACAAATTTGATGACATCTCTTAAATGTAGTATTTTTGGTGAACAAAATAATAACCCAAAGCTATGAAATTTGAAACCTGAAATTTAAAATTCTACTTCAAGGAACATTATCTTATTTGTAGTAACCTAAAATAGATTCCAGATGATAAAAATTTTTTAATTTACCTTTAATATTAGTTCACTGAAAGTTCATTTAAAAATGTTTTTCTGCCCTGGACAATGTGTCGTCCTGTATACCAAAGGGTGGTGGGTTCAATTCCCTGTTGGGTGCATGTGGAAGGCAACTGATCAATGTTTCTCTCTCTCCCTCTCTCTCTCCCTCTCTCTCTCTCTCTCTCTCTCTCCCCCTTCCTTTCTCTAAAATCAATAAAAAGTATGTCCTTGGGTGAGGAAAAATATATATATTTTTCTTAAGAGTTAAAATTCATGTAAAGAATTTTGACATCAGAATGTCTTTTTAATTCTGAATGTGGTACTCACTGTTCTTGATCACTTTCATCTTAATTTAATTTATCTTAGGTTTTTTTATGACTTTCTTTGGAGAGACTGGGATGACGAAGAAAGTTGTGACAATTATACTGCTTTGATTGAGGAAAGAATTAATTTGTAAGTATACTTAAAAATGTAATCAGCACATTATATAAGATAAACATTGTAATTATATTGATACTTTTCAGGTGGTGTGATATACAAGATGGAACAATACCTGGTCCTATTGCACAACGTTTCAAAAAAACTTTGGAAAAATATAAAAGCAAGCGTGTCGAGCTCATTGAGTATCAGAACAATATTAAAGAAGATCCCTCTGCAGCAGAGGCTGTTGAATGCTGGAAAAAATACTACGAGATAGTAATGCTCTGTGAATTATTGAAAATGTGGGAAGATTTACGCCTTCGGTAATAATTTTCTCTATTTTAAATGGGAACAAAATGATTACATTGTCGTTGTTTTACCATATCACTTAACTTATATATATTACCCTGATTGATATGATTATAAAATTAGATGTCCTACTTATGAGATAAGCACAAGGCACAACTACCAATTTTGGAAAATTATTTTTATATTAGTGAATTGACTGAGTTTTTTTAATGAAAAATATCTCATAAATCTGGTCCTATCTTTCACCTTCACCTTCTTGATTATGGCCAAAACATAAAAAAGGAGGTACATTTCCTCCACATATAATATGCAAAGTAAAGAGAGAGTTGACTAATTTGGCTGCCTCATAATTTCTGCTTTTCTAACCAACATAAGTTGATAAGATGTTTTGGATGATAAATAAAACAATGTAGATTTAACCAACATCATTCTCCTGGAAGGTGAGAGAACTGAGCAGAAATGTCAGTTGCTGTGTACCTCAAAGGAGAGAGTTTGCATTCTGGGACCAAGTTAACTGCCCTGTAGAATACAAGGCTAACAGTCCTCAGAAGAACATAACACAATCCAGAGTTACTAAAATATATTATCCAAAATCTACAGTATTCAACCAAAAATTAATAGACATGTAAAGAAACCAGAATGTTAGTTCATAGGAAAAACGACAGTTAATAGAAACTGATTTTGAGGGGGACCAAGATGTTGGATTTATCAAAGACTTCAAAGCAACTATTATAAGTACATTTAAAGAATTAAAGGGAAACATGATTACAGAAGTAGAGGAAAATGTGGTGTTAATAAGTACATGGAAAGTCTCAACAGAAATGGAAACTATAGAAGAGAACCAAGGATTTCCAGATTTAGCTCTGACATGTAAAGAGCTTGTGAGCTGCTGTTACCATACTTACAATGAGAAAAGGGATTTCACATAAATTAACTCAGAGTGATCTACAGGCCTACACATAAAACAATACTATAAGACTTCTAGAATAAAACACAGGCAGAAACTCAGGTGACCTTGGGTTTGGCAATGAGTATTTAGATACAACACTGAGTGTGATGGGAATGTTCTCTATTTTGATGACCTTGATTGAGTTAAATGTTGTGTATACATTTGTGAAACCTCATGAAATGGTTCATTTAAAATGAGTGTTGTGTAAATTATACCCTAATAAATTTGATTAAAAGACACTGATATATACATTTGTTGTAAAACTAGGATTGCATGACTTATTTCCTGAATGTAGGGTGCTTTACTCTTTGAGCAACTAGTAATCAGGTATATGGTGAACAAATGTCTCAGTAGCTCCCTTTCTCAATATCAAAACTACTTGCTTAAATAGGTATAAAAATACTCAGTGGGTCTGCTTTTGAAATGTTAAATGAAACCTTTGCTCTGGAGGATATTGCTAATATGTTGGAATTCAAATTTGAATAACTTGCATGGTAAATTCTTAGAACCAGCCTCCTGAAAATTTAAGCTTTACAAAAATATTTGATAATTGCAATAAAACCTGAAAAATATTGGTAGTAAAGCTGCATCCCATTTAACATCAAGCAATAAGCAAAGTGCTATAGAAAACTCAAAAGGTTACACCTAAGGAGATTAATGGTAAACATCCATCTATTGGAAAAAGAGTGTCCCTTTGGCTGACAGTAATGATAAAAGTTAGACTCAAATTTATTTTCTTTCTTTTGATGACACTCAATGATTAAGAGACAGAAAACAGGAACTATAAAGAAAAGGAGAAAGAAGAGAAAGAATGAAATTAATTAGAAGTGCTGAGTAGCAAACAATATAAAAACAATGAAGAGAGAAGCTAGTATTGTTCTTCTGGGAGGCCAACAGCCAACTATTTCTATGGAAACCCTATCCTTTGAAACAAAACAATTTCTTAATTGAACATAATATCTAAAATTAGACATGTCCTAAAACATTCTTATGCCTCAATATCACGGGCATAACCCATCTCTGCTCTGTGTGAGTCTGCAGTTCCGTGGACTATGAAAGTACAATCAGGAAAATTTCCTACTGTACTGAAAAGTTGAAGGGATTGAAGTATTAACTGTAGTGGGTTGCATGCAGATTTTAGGTACAAACTATTAAAATGAAAAGATTTTAGAGTTCAAGGGTTTAAACAGTTATTCTGAAATATAATAATCATTCATTGTTCTCAAGTTGGTCATTGATCTCAGGAGCTTAAAATTAGTGAAACCTATTTTTCAAAGATGGTTAGTGCCAAGTTTTTATTTTCTAAGCCATTATAGGTTGAATCTTTTTTCATTGTTAATTTAATCATAAATATTTTCAACTCTAGAGTCCATGGACCTTTTTTTCCAAGAATTCTGAGGCGTAGGAAAGGAAAAAGAGATTTTGGAAAGACTATTACACATATTGTAGCAAAAGTGATGACTACTGACATGGTAAGAGGTACACTTTATTCTTGTTCATTTAAGTTTAGCTACATATAATCAGAAGAGAGGCTCTTTGAAGGTAGGGTTCTTATCTGACTCAGGAATGTCTTATTTCCCCCATTACATCCAGCTTAGTGATTGGAATATAGTAAATATTAAATTAATAAATGTCAGCAATTATTTGCTGAGTACTGACTTTGTTGTCAGGCACTATGCTAGTAGTATGGAAAGGATGGGAGACAAATATGAGAAAGACTGCACATGAGGGAGACACAGCATTGAACGGTGAACCAGACCCACAGTCTTGCTTCATCACACATTCTACAGGTTTGACTGTGGTGGAGATATGAACAAGTAAATAGGCAATTACAACAAAGAATGATACAGGCTATGGTACGAGTATGTACGGGGTGCATATAGGACGAGCACATAAGCCAGAATTAGCAGTTCTGGCAGTGCTACCTGGAAGAAATAACTCTGTTGAAACCTGAAGGAAGAGTATAAATTTAACCAGCTCAAGAGGGGAAGATGTTGTAAGTCTAAAAGTAAATATTTCCATCTCAACCTCTCAGTAGCGTTTCACAGCTCTCTCCTGGGGAGATTCTTTCTCATTGTCTTGTTCCTAAACTTCTCTGGTTTTCATTCTTTCTAGATGCTCTCTCCCTCTCCTTCTGTCCTCTAAATGCTTGGTACTTTTTCTGCACTATGATATCCCTAAGTGATTTATCTGGTCTCCACCCATGACTTCAGTCACATATACTGATAGTCGAAAATGTGTATCCACAGCCCAGATTCTTGTCCTGAGCCCCAAGCCTCTATGTCCAACTGCCCATTGCTCATCACCACTCTGTCACAAGAACTTCAGCTCAGATGTCCACAGTTAAGTGCATGACCTTCTTCACTGACTTGTTTATATTCCAGTTCCCTGTTCCAGTAAATGGTTCCACCGCCTACCCAGCGGCTAACTACAATTTCCTGAGTTATCCTATCCCTCATCACCTCCATGCATCCACTTCGGTGAATACAACATTCTTTCACAGAACCTCCTCAAGGGAAATATCATTTCCAGCCTTTCCCAGTGTCCCACAGTACATTAGCCTACTGTGTGCTCTCAGCGCCCAGCCCTTCCCTTGCTGGCACTCTCTCTTATCGTGACTGTATTTAATACTCTGTGGGTATGTACCGAATGTCCGTCTCTTACTAGACTATGAGCTTCTTGAAAGCAAAGGGTATATATTTACCGTACATCCACCACCTCGCATGATGCTTGGCACATGGTAGGTGCCCAGCTGTTTTGATTGAATTAGTAAATTCGTGCACGTCTGACAGAGTATGGTGTGAATGAGAGACAGAGAAGTCCAGCAAGGAGAGGGTGACAGATAAAGCTGGCTTATTAGACTGGTCTTGTCTGATATCCTACCCATTTTTATTATTTTCAACAAAATTTAATTTTCCTTTTAATTGCTTATTGGATCAGATTATTCAATAACAATAATTCTACCAATTACCTTCGCAACATCTTTATAAAAGCAAGGAACAGATTTTGTGTTTGACTCCAGCCTTATTTTATCATTTTTACTTTCACTTGTCTTTTTTGTTTTAAATCTGTTTCTGACTTTATTTTCTTATGTGATAATGAAAAGTTTCCTTGATTTTTTACCCAGTGCTTTGCAACCCTGTCTCCTTTGTGTAAATAAATATCCATGAACTTGGGAGGCTAGGATAACAAGAGAAAGATCACCCTGAAAAGGCAGCACCAGCTTCCACTTGCTTAGATCTTTGATCTTATATTTGAGGTTGATAAAATATTTGATAGTAGTCAGGCTATGTGCATAGCCTTTAACAACTTTCCCAACTTTGAAGATTCTTTACTCGGTGTTCTTCCTGCTCTGTACTCCTTTACACAGTTTTCTCCACGCCCGTCATCTTTATGTTGGTGATCTGCACAGGCCACATAGTGAAAGGTTGTGGGCTTTGAAGTCATAGCCCAGAGCTTCTGTAGCCTCTCTGAGGCCACTTAATAACTGTGATCTTGGGCAAGCTGCCTAACCTCTGCGTACTTGCAGAGTGCTTTAAAAAGACAGATAAAAAGGTGTGTACTGTGCTGATTAAGAACGTGGGCTCTGGCGCCAGACTGCCTGGGTTCAGACTGTGACTTTGCCACTTACTAGTTGTGTGATTTTCAACAAGTTATTTAGCCATCAGTGCTTTAGTTCCCCACTTGTAAAATGGGGTTAATGCAATGTCCCTTATTTAGAGAGTTGTGAATATTGAGTTCATATTTGTAATATGCTTAGAATAATGCTCAGTGCATAGTAAGTACCACCGCCTTATGGTTTTTTTGAGGATGAAATGAGATGTTATGTATAAAATACCTAGCACTGCCTGGCACACAGCAGCTTTTCAGTACATTTGTCACCTTTTCTCTTTCCCTTCTTGCTTTTATTCTAAGCATCTTTACCTGGATGTCTCACTAACATATAGCGGTTCTAAGTTTGAGCCTATCTTTTTGTACACAGCCCTTCCTCGCCCTCCTATATTCCCTATAATGTCATAAATACTCTTCTAGTCAGCCAAATTAAATATCAGTCCTTACCGCCTCTTTTACATCACAAGTTCTCAAATTGTGATGATAGTTTCTCTTATTTCCTCAACTGTGAAAGGGAGTAATGAAGTCTGTCCTAGAGTTGTTAGACTTAAGTAATTTTTATACAAATCTTTTAGCAAAGTGCCTGCCACAGAAATGCCAACTGCTGTCATTATTACTATTTTATCATTTATATCCCAATCATGTGTTGTCATTGCTCAGATTTTCCGTAATGCTACAAATGTGATAACTCTCTGAAAATGTAAAGACAATGTGTTCTTTCTTGTACCGTTTTTCCCCTTTTTTGAGGTAAAATTCATATAATAAATTATAATTTTAAAGTGAATGTCTCAGTGACATTCAGTACATTCACAGTGTTGTGCAACTACTATCCCTAGTCCCAAAACACTTTCATCGTCTCAAAATCCCACATCTCTAAGCTCTAAATCCCCTTCCTCCTTCCCTCCAGTTCCTAGCTTCCTTTTCTGTCTCTATAAATTTACCTATTCTGGGTATTTCATACAAATAATATCACACAGTGTGAGCTTTTGTGTCTGACTTCTTTCACTTAGCATTAACATTTTCAAGAGTCATCCACATTGGAGCTTTTTTTGTGCCTTCTTTTTATGCCTGAATAATACTCCATTTTATGTATATACCACAGTTTATCCATTCATCAGTTGAGAGACATTTGAATTGTTTTCACCTTTTTGCTACTGTGAATGGTACTGCTATGAACATTCATATGCAAATGTTTGACTACCTGTTTTTAGTTCTTTTGGGTATTTACCTGGTAGTAGAATTACTGGGTAATATGGTGATTCTATGTTTAACTTTTTAAAGATACTAAACTGTTTTCCATAGCGGCTGAACCATTTACATTCCCACCAACTACATATGAGGGTTCTAATTTCTCCACAGCCTTGCCAACACCTGTTATCTATTTTTATTACAGTCTTCTTAGAATGTATGCATTTGTATCTCATTGTGGTTTTGATTTTCATTTTCTTAATGGGTAATGATGTTGAGCATCTTTTCATGTGCTTGTTGGTCATTTGTATATCTTCTTTGGAGAAATGTCTATTCAAGTCTGATGCCCATTTTTTAACTGGGTTGTCTTTTTGTTGTTGATGAATTATGAGTTCTTTATATAGTTTGGACACTAGATTAGACGTGTGCTTTACAAATATTTTCTCCCATTTCATTTGTCTTTTCACTTTCTTGATAATATTCTTTAATGCACAAAAGTTTTAAAGTTTGATGAAGTTCAATTTATCTATTTTTTTTCTTTTATTACTCTTGCTTTTAGTGTCATACCTAAGAACTCATTTTCAAATCCAAAGTCATAAAAATTTACTCTTATGCTTTCTTCTAAGAGTTTTATGTTTTTATAATTTAGCTCATTGATCCATTTTGAGTTAACTTTTTATATGGTGTGAGGTAGGGGTTTGATTTCATTCTTCTGCATATCCAACTATACAATTATCTCAACACTATTGTCGAAGAGACTGTTCTCTCCCCACTAAATGGCCTTGGCACCCTTGTTGAAAATCAGTTGGCCATGGTGGTATGGGTTTATTTCTAGGCTTTCAAGTCTATTCCATTGGTCAGTATCTTTATCCTTATAATAGTATCACACAGTTTGATTACTGTGGCTTTGTAGAAATTTTTGAAATCAGAAATGTGAGTCCTCCAACTTTTTTTCTCCAGTACTGTTTTGGATATTAAGAGCCTCTTGCAATTCCATATGAATTAGAGAATGAGCTCTTCCATTTCTGTAAAAACAAACTATTGGAATTTTGATAGGGACTATATTGACTCTGTAGATCAATTTGGGGAGTATGGTCATCTTAGTAATATTAAAAATATTCCAATCCCTGAATATGGGATTTCCCCATTGTTAGGTATTCTTTAATCTCTTTCAGCAGTGTTTTGTAGTTTTTGACATACAAGGCTTTTACCTTTTATTTAACATAAATAATTTTATATTAAAATTATTCCTAAACCTTTTATTATTTTGGATGCTATAGTAAGTGGAATTTTTTTTCTTAATTTCCTTTTCAGATTGTTCATTGCTGGTATATAGATAAAACTGTTGATCCTATACCCTGCAACTTCACTGAATTTATTAGCTATTACACTTTTTTGGTGAATTCTTTGGGGTTTTCTATGTATAGGATATATAGGATCATTTTTGCAAATAGAAATAGTTTTACTTCTTTCTTTTCAGGCTTTTATTTCTTTTTACCTCATTGCTTTGGCTAGAACTTCTGGCTAATATAATGTTGAATAGCAATGATAAAAGTAGGTATCTGTCTTATTCTGACTTTAGGGGATGTTACGGGCTAAATTGTGTCTCCTCAAAATTCATATGTTGAAATCTTAACCCTCAGTACCTCAGGATGTAACCACATATATTTCGAGATAAGGTATTTAAAGAAGTAATTCAGTAAAAATAAGGCCATTGCCCTGGCTGGTGTTGCTCAGTGGTTAGAGCATTGGTCCGTGCACCAAAGGTTGAGTCTTGGGAGCGATTCCTGGTCAAGGGCAGTACCTGGGTTGGAGGTTTGATCCCAGGCCCTGGTCTGGGCATATGTGGGAAGCAGCCAGTTGATGTGAGTTTCTCACATTGATGTTTCTCTCTCTGCCCCCCTTCTTCCCTTTCACCCTCTCTAAAAATCAATGGAAAAAATATCCTCAGGTGAGGATTAACAACAACAAATTAAAAAAAAATTTTTTTAATGAGGCCATTATGGTGAATCCTAACCTACTTTTATAATAAAAAAAGAAGAGATGTGGATGATATTGCCCCCCTTATTGGGAAAAGAATAGGTATTTTCTCAGAGTATATTTTCAGTTCCCAAATTTTAAAGTTCCTCACTCTTTATGACGCTAATAATGGAGCCCTCTACCCTTTTCTACTCCAAGTGAAAATTCCTAGTATTTTTTTTTTTTAGTTCTACAATCTTTAATATATAAGATTTTGTGGATTTACCCAAATTATAGGGTCAGTTTGAGTTAAAGGAAACAAGTATATTGGAAAGAGATCTAGTGCCATAAAGACCTGGATCTAAAGCTTAGATTCACTGCTAACTCACTCTCTGTCCTTGGGCAAACCACTTAATCTCGCTGAGTTTCCACTTCCTTAACCTTTTAAAGGGATAATAAGACTTCACCTCAAAGAACTGTTGTGAAGCTTACGAGGTAACAGGTAAAGTTCAAAATATGACTTCTGGCACACAGTATTTAATAGCTGTAAAACTATTAGGGATCATAAAGGAAATCTCATTTCATCACTCCCTTAAATGATGGACCAATACCTTGAGTATTTAACAAACATAAATACATATAATAATTCAGTGTATTACCCATAGGTAAGTCTTGGGAAAAGCGTGTTACCAAATGAACTCTCTGTTTAACCTGTTGTGGAAGGTGTGCTGCTTTATTTCTTGTTTTTAGGTAAAGGACTTATCTTCAGACACGTTTCTCCAACAGCATGATGATTTGGATTTGGCTTTGGATAGTTGTTACAGTGGAGATACAGTTGTTATTTACCCAGGAGAATATCAAGCTGTAAATCTTGCTTTATTGACGGATGACATCATTATAAAGGGTTAGCAGGACATCCTTTGCAATCTTTTTATAGCAATGTGTACTGGACAAATTGTATATTGTAAACATGGTTAATCAAATTATTAGGAATTAGAATACAGTTTATTTTTCACAAAAATCCCTCATGTGCCTTTGTAAACAATTAAGATTTTCCTCACTTGTTCATGTATATATTGTCCGTACAGGTGACCTTGTTGTACCAGAGCAAATCAGTCAATGAGACTGCTTCTTCCCCATGATAATGAAAACCTGTTGATAGTATTTTCTATTAGCACCATCTATATTTTTATTAAACAACTTTCTTCTCATCTATCTCCACTGCACTTCATATCACTTTAGTGGGAAAACCCAAATGTAAGGCTATATTAAAATATACTCAGCATTTTCTCAAAAAGGTTAATTCATATGCATACTTACTAAAATAGAAGTAGAAAAGCAGAGCTTACTAACTTTTTCTCAAAGTTCTGAACATACTTAGTAACTTTAATTCTGCCATTTTACATTGAAGCATGCGTGTTCCCACTGTCTGGCTGGTGACAGAACAAGTGACGTAAATGTTTCCTATTTATGCAAAAACTGAGCCAAATTTTCACTAGATTTTGTTGATTGTAATCAGTAGTATTTTGCTGAAAACTACATGGATAATAAAGATCATATTTGTAATTTAAAAAATTTGTAGCCTTCTTGAAGATTCAACCCCTTATTTTTGGATTGATGTTAAATTTAGATGATTGCTTTGACTACTCCAGAGCAAAATTATGGATATAATTGATGTTATAACCTAATTCAAGAGTCTCTGCCAGTCCTTTTTAGTATGGTAATTTATTATGGTTTTAAAACTAGGTTATGGTAAGATGCTTTTTGTATCTTAAGATATTTTGTAGATGACTGCTGATTATATAATTTAGGGAAATATGTAGTGGAATGAGTATGTTAAATAAATACCATAGGTAGATTTAGATTGATTATAAACCCAGAATCTGGCATCAAAATAAGGACAAAAGATGACATTATAGGTAAGTATCTAATTCGTTAATAACTGAATAATTATTAACGAATATGTGAAAAGAAAAGCTTAGTAATAGCAAGTATTATTGAATGACCAAAGGGCTTTTGACTTTGGGACTAATTATGCCTCTTTGTTCCTATGATTCAGGAGTTGGAAAGAGAGAGGAAATTATGATTACTTCTGAACCTTCTCATGACAGTTTTGTGGTATCCAAAGCTGATAATGTGAAACTAATGCATCTATCTTTGATACAACAAGGGACAGTGGATGGTATTGTGGTGGTGGAGTCTGGCCACTTGACTCTGGAGAACTGCATATTAAAATGTGAAGGAACAGGAGTGTGTGTTCTTACCGGGGCCTCTTTGACAATTAAGGACAGTGAAATAACTGGTGCCCAGGTAGTTCATTTTAAAAACTATGGCTTTCTGGGACTACAGATATAACTGAGTCATCTTACTATGCAAACAAAGGGTAACAGTTCCTTCATCTTTGAATTGAATTATAATTAAGCTTAGAAACTGATGAAAGTAAACAACATGAGGACAAGTACAAGAGTGTCATAGCACGCTTAGGAAGAGGGACCTGCCTAAGTCCAAAGTAAGGAATTACTAGCTTTGGGTTAAGTGTGATTTTTTTAAAAAAATGTAGGAATCAGTGGCTATAAAATAGATCATGAATCAGTTACCTGATGGTTTATTTAAAAAGAAATAGCACTGTCCTTATAAGCTATCAGAATTGCTGTAAGGTATTGTGGTTAGCTGTAACAGCTTGAGTCTTCAGGTATCAATCACAAAAATCGTTAAAGGACTGAAAAATTGAATGAGAAACAAGATTAGAAGGAAGCAGAAAACTAAGAGGACCTTCCCACTAAAATGTGTAAATAGACTTTAGCAGAATTATGAGGGATTTAGAGTATATGTAAGTAAATTTTTATAACTGAAAAGAATTGCTTAAAGAAATTTTGACTCCCTTCTAGAGACTTCGTTTGGGTGGGAGAGCATCACCCTGAAGGACTATATGACTTCAATCTCTAGGCCTAAGATTCTCTTAACACAGATGAGTGTTTTACCACATTTTTAAAACATCTATACAGTAACTTGTTGCTTGCACTGTCATGTATTTTCACATAACTTAGTGTGTTTAGATTGCAGATATAGAATTACAATTTTGAAAGCTAAAGGGAATTTTGGAGAGGCATGTTTGTGTTTTACAGATTGTTGTATCTGCTTTGAATTGACAGGGCGCTGGTGTTGAGCTGTATCCTGGCAGCACAGCCATTTTGGAAAGGAATGAAATTCATCACTGTAATAACTTCAGAACCAGTGACAGTTCAAAAAGTATCTTAGGTGGAGTTAATATGAAGGTATTCTCATATTTCTTAACATACAATTGTTATAAGAATTAAAATTATTAGAAAGATACAAAAATATTAGTTTTAGGCTTAAAATTTAGTCTAAATGTTGTTATTGATTTGGTACTAAATGTTATAAATTTAGTACAAATCATTAAGATATGGTTTAAATGATGGCTGATAGGAAACAATTTTAGTCTTATAATTTAATAATTTCAACTTGAAATTTTAGCAAATAGCTATGAATATGAGAAAGTGGTAAGTTCACTCTTATAAAATGTTTTAGAGCTTTCATTGAGCAGATGTGTGTTACATTTTGGAAAGTAAAGCAAATTAAGAGAAATATATTAAGAAATATTTTGTCTTTCAAACTTTGTAAAATAATTTAAACCAATTAAAACATTAATAGCAGTAATTTATAAGTGAAATGCCTTCCCATTCCTTTCTACATCTACAAATTTTACCTTTCTAGGTCCCTCTGTAGACTTGTGTAGCTAATGAAGCTTTTCCATAGAAATCTGGTTTGCATATCATTAATTGAAATTATTTTCATGTTTATCATTTTCATGATCTGAAATCATTTTCATATTTATCATGTTATATTAATCATTTTCATACTTATGTTATATGCTTCATGGGATATTGCTATAACCCCATCTAGAATCATTTATCTTTATCAATAACTGATAAAAAAAATTGAAAACCTCATTTAATCTTTCCTCATTAAACATTTTTGTAGTTAATATTACATTAACCCAGTGTGAGGAAAACACTAGTTCAAAATTGAGATTCTTTTGTCTAAAAGAAATGTGTAGAGAAAGACAAGTATCACATGACCTCACTCGTGGAATCTAATGAACAAAATAAACTGATGAACAAAATAGGTCCAGAGACATAGAACCATGGAGCAGACTGAGGGATCTCAGAGGGAAGGCGGGGGTCGGGGAGTGGGAGGGGAGAGACTAACCAAAGAACTTATACGCGTAAACGCGTAACCCATGGACGCAGACAGTGGTGTGGTGAAGGCCTGGGGAGGCGGCGGGGGCGGATGCTGGGTGGACGGGATCAATGGGGTGACAAGGGGAGCTCTGTAATACTTTCAACAATAAAGATAAACTTGAAAAAGATAAAAAGAAACGTGTACACCTAAGAATAAGTTCTCGAGTTTATGACAAGTTCATTAGTTCATATTTATTTTTATAGAAATTGTGGAAAAACTAATTTCTTTGAATACTTTCACAGGTTCTTCCAGCGCCCAAATTGAAGATGACTAATAATCATATTTATAACAACAATGGCTATGGAGTAAGCATTCTCCCACCAACTGAACAGTTCTTTATTGTGGAAGCCTTCAACAAAGGCGCTGCTTCAGGAGACAAAAAAGATGAAAACAGGCTCTCCAAAGTAATGCAAAATCTAAATCTGGAGATGAGTGACAATCAAATGGAAGCAAACGTAAAGGGGGATATGAGAATAGTCACAAGTTAAAGACTGGGTTTATGTTCAAGTTTTGTATTTCAGAGTTGTTCAATAAACCTCATCTCCCAAAGAAACGGTGTTCTAATTAAATTCAACTTATTTCATTAAAAACATTTAAACATTCTAATGCTCTTTCATTGAATGATTCACTTTGATTTTAAAAATACAGGCCATAAAATTCATCCTTTTAGGTATATAATTCAGTGGTGATTAGTATATTTTTAGTATATGGTACCACCATCATCATGAATTCTAAAAGCAAATGTGGTTTTAAACATTGCTTTTAATACTTAGTCCAATAAACAGCATTAGAAGTGTTCTATGTAGAGAATAGAAAGAAATTACAGCTAATTCCTGATCCATTCCCATTTATAGGTGCTAGTAACTGGAATAAGGTTAGACAGACCCACGTATAACCTAGGATCAGGTTCAGCTGCAGGAAATAAATTCAAAACAAGAGAGGTAAACAACATAGAGGTGTATTTCCCCCTCATATTCAAGAAGTCCAGAGGTGTCAGCTTAGGGTAGTAGATATTCCATGTGGCTAGTGTAGGGCTGGTAAGTGTAGCTGTTCCGTGCTAGAAATTCAAGTTTCTTCCGTCTTGTTTTACCATCACATAGTTTCCATTCAAAATCAGCACATGGTCCAACGTAGCAATGGTTGCTCAAGCATGATGTCTGAATTCCAGCTATGCAGAAGGGATAGGGCCTGTCTATTAAGCCACACACGTGTTTCAACTTTCATGCCTCCTCCAGGTAGAATCTAATCATAGGGCTACACCTAACTGCGATGAAGGTAGGGAATGAAGTCTTTAAATTGGATGGCCGTGTGTCCTCTAAGGGGGTTCATCTCAAGTCTTTTCTACAAAGCAAAACTTATATTGATTTTAGGATATAAATGGAAATAAGCACTCAGGCTCAAATACTTAAATGTTCCCTTTCTCAATTTGCTTTTCACTTGGTGTTACCTGTAACCTAGCAAGTGGCCCTGTGTTGCCACCGAGAACCTCTTGAGGCTGAGCTGAATAAAGCATAGCTGTTCAATGTTTCGTTGAATAGTATTTTTTTAAAACATAAGGCCTTGTTAGCTGGGTGACATATAATTCCAGGGATTGTCCATGGAGGCCTTAATAATGAATTCAATGAGCTGAGAGAGGGGATTCTCCTTTCCAGGCCTCTTCCTCCACCTCCATTTTTGTTTCAGGAAAGGTAGGTCATAGACAAAGAGGATCTTTTGAGAGAAAGCAATAGCCTTTGTGAGCAAACTTGTCACTCATTCATTGGTCATCTGCCTCCTTTCTGTTGCTGCCATTGGTTGCCAACCCATCTCTTACCCAGGCCCACTTTGGAATAGTTTTTTCCTAGTCTCATAATCCTAAAGCATGCACAAAGCATAAGACTGTCTAAGAAATTTGATCTTTCATGAATTGTTTTATCTCCCTCCTTGACCTTCCCTCCCCTACTTTTTCCCTACATCATAACAAATTACTACAAATTAGAGGCTCAAACACTAATTTACCTTACAATTCTGTAGGTTGAAGTTAACATGGGCCCCATTTGGCTAAAATCAGTATTTTTGGGGTGCGCTGCTTTCTGGATGCTCTAGGAGAGGACGTCTTGCTGACGTGGGTGTTGACAGAACTCAGTTCCTCGCAGTTTCAGGATTGAGATCTGTTTTCTTGGTGGGTGACAGCCAAGAGCTGTTCCCAGTGTCTGGTGGCCAACTGCATTCTTTGGGTCATGGCCGCCTCCTTCCATCTTCAAAGCCAGCAACAATGGATTGACTGCCTTTCAGGCTTTGAATTTCTCTTGCCTCTTCAGTCTCATTTCCCCGACTCACTCTTCTCTCCCTCTTCCCCTTTTAAGGACTTACGTGATTAGACTGAACCCCCCTGGGTAACCCAGTGTAATTTCCCCATCTCGAGGTCCTTAACTTTAATCACATCTGTAAAGTCCCTTGTGCCAGGTAAGATAGGCATTCATTCACAGGAATTAGGATGTGGACATCTTGGGGGGGGGGGTGAGGAGGTATTATTCTCTTACCAGCTACCTTAACCAATTTTCCAGATTAAGGGAAGAAAAATCCTAATTCTACTCCTCAAATGGGATTTAAGAAGTTTCCTCCACCAGGACCAGACTTCCAATGCATAGCTTATGTACATTGAAAAGAAATAATAATTTAGTACCTAAAGGGGAGATGGTTCCGTATTTCTGCTGTCCTTCCCATGTGTGCACACATCTGGCTTTCCTACTAGACTGTAAATTTCCTGGAGTAAGGCACCGGCTCTTGGTAACCATCACATCCTGTTGCACTGTGCACTGCAACTAGTAACTGTTAGTTTTAAATAGCACTAATGGGTCTCTGCTTATGAAAAACTGAAATGATACTTACAGTCCGGGACTTTAAAGGACATTTCATTACAGTTGCTGGAGATGGAAGTGCTAGGACTCTAGAGGCGAAGATGACAGATCAAGATTAGAAGAGTGGCCTTGGTATGGAACGAAAGGGAGGAATTAGAACCCTTTGCCTTCTGTAAGGGGCAGGCAGTGGGGGTGGAGATCGCCTTTGGCCCACTGCCTTGCCAGCAGCAGCTGGGGTAGAGCCTCATCTGAAGAGCAGAATAGGAGCCCTGATGCTAGAACCTCTTTTCAGTTTATGAAGTACAGTGGGTGGCAAAGGCTACAACCCGGCTGAAAGGCACTCCTCAGCAGCACAAGGCATCTGAGGACAGGCAGGAGTCTAAATTTTCTAAATATTAAAGTGGAAAATGTGAAAACTATATTCTATACTTTCAGTGATGGAACCAAATCAGGTGTCAGTTTCCATGTCTCTGAACTACCTTAAATTTTAATTAAAAATGTGTGCTGCATGCCTTTGGTGGAGAGTCCACAGCTTCCATCATATTTTGAGGAGCCTCAGTCCCCAAAAGTTTAAGACATGTTTTCACATGTATGAAGGGCAAGAGCTTTCATTGATGAGGCTCTAAGCTAGTGTGGCTGTTGGAGCAGCGTAGGGTAGGAGTGGGGGGAAGGTGTTTAGCCCTGACCCTGAAGGAGCCTGTGACTGAAGGCAGGAGCAGGGTGGGGTGGTACTAGATTTGTATGGGAATGCTTCCTCCAGCTGTGTGGAGAATGCATTACAGACAGGGCTGGAGGCAGGCAAAGATCAGTGAGAGGTTGTTGCATCACTGTACACCCTAATTAATGATTTCCAGAATAGAATACAGGCAGTTGCTTTATAAGAGCATGCCTGAAGGTGTTTGGGTGTTACATATGGCTTTGGCAATTAAGTAGGTGATGCTGTGATAAAAAAGAATGAAAGAAAACAGTAACACCTCAACGGGGAACGGAGTAGAGGGCATAGTGTTTTCTTCAGTTTGGAAGAACAGTTGACCCTGAACAACATGGATTTGAATTGTGCAGGTCCACGTATACGGTTTTTCAATAAATTGACAGTCAGCCCTCTGTATCTCCAGGTTTCACATTGACAAATTCAACCAACCACGGATTGAACACAGTATTCCCGGGATGCAGAGGGCTGACTGTATGCATTGTTCTATGTCACTTTGTATAAGGGACTTGGACATCTTCAGATTTTGTTATCTGTAGGGGCAGAGGGAGGATGTTGTAGAACCAACTCCCTGTGGGGACTGAGGGACAATTGAAGTTTTTGGAATCAAAAGCTGTAAGTGAATTTTTGACTGCATGAGGGTTTGGCACCCCAGACCCCTGTGTTGTTCAAGGGTCAACTGTACTAAGTTTTATTATTATTTCAGTGGGATATCTAAGCAGAAATGTATAACCAGTAAGTAGCTGTTTCTACCACCACTGTAAGTAGTAGTCTGATGCTCAGAAAGGAAATCTGGTTGGAGATATAGTTGAGTCTGTAAACAGATTGGGGCCAGTGGCTTATCGACAGTAACTACCGAAGGTGATCTAAAGAACATGTAGACCGAGAATTTTAAAAAGAACGTGAAGGCAAAATAACTTGCCCAACATCACCCATGTATCAGAAAGCAGCTTAGTTCTGTCTGATCCAAAGCCTTTGTAATCTGTACTGTACTCTCTCAAATGAGAATATGTAAAAATCTTTGTAAGCTGTGACCGTGAAGTGTTACAAATGTATAAACATCTCTACTAAAATAAACTAGCTTAAAAAATATCCTTTGAAATACACGTATGTTAATGTAGACAGAATTAACTGTCAAGTTTATAAACTTTATGCACTGGTGAAACTTACCTTCACTCTTTGCGTAACTCTGCCATTCAGAGAGTTTTGTGGGTTAATTTTTAATTCTAATTAAAATTAATTTTAATTAATTTTTATGTTGGAAACTAACTTAGAAAAGAGAATGCTGACCCTGATCGTAGATTTTTCAAAAACAAAGCTTGGGAAAAAGCCAAAATGTTCAGCCCTAGGTCAGAAGTCTTACTCAAATGCAGAGGTCTGTGTGAACAGTGTACTGGCCAGTATTTATTGCAAGAGTAACAATTCCGATGCAAGGCTAATTATCCTACTACAAATAATATCACTTGGTGTACTTTTGAAACAGTACAGTTTTTCCTCTTAATGTTTTAAACTAACATATGTAACTGGCATTGTAAAATTGTGTGTAAGATCAATAATTACATTGCCTGTATTTAGTGTAATACTTTATTTTCTATTGTATTAAACTAAAGCCAAGAAAACATCAAGTTAATATTAAGGAAAATCTTTACTCCTTAAAGAAAAAAATACAAACCGGTACTCTTATAATAGATCATTATATTTTACATAATATAAACAAGATCACTAATGTGTCTATATGCTTGGTTTTCTTAAACTACAATGAACCACAAAATGGGTGAAAAATGGGTTTACTTATTAACAGCAAATAAACAACTTGGGAAAATGGGTAGCATGCATTTTTTGTCCGCTGTCTATGCACAGGCCTCCAAATAACAAAGCTTTAGTAGCCACCACCCCCTCTTCCTTGCCCAAAGTAGCCACTCCCATAGCCCCCTCTGCCCCCTCCTCGCTGGAATCCCCCAGATCCTCTGTAGCCTCCTCCCCCACTGTAGTCTCCTCCCGCACCGCCTCTATAGCCACCGCGGGAACCTCCTCTATAGCCTCCGCCACCTCCACCGTAGCCTCCCCGATAGGAGTTGGAGCCACCACCATAACCACTGCCATAGCCTCCACCACCTCCGTAGCCTCCGCTGCCATAGCCTCCACCACCGTAACTAGAGCCTCCCCTTCTATATCCACTTCCGTTGTCATATCGGGCCATCTTGGGAGGACGTGGACCATCTCCATACCTATGAAAAGCACAAAGCCACCATTTTAGCAAAGGATCCTTAATACTTCTCAACTAGTCACAAAATATAAACATTTAGGCATATTTGAAAATGTAATGCATAAAGGGAACAAAGCCAACTGCGCAGATACAAACAAATGAAATAAATCTGCGACTCCAAAGCAGACACAGGTGGAGGCATCAACTGTACCCATCAGTTTTCCTAACGTTCTAACTGGCTCATTCTCAAAGATCTTTAATTTTGGCAATACATCCTTACAACTTTAGAGGACTCTAAGAAAGCAGCATGTGAGGAAGAGGTTCCTGGAACTGGCAATAAAACTATTTGATCTTTATCACCAAATATTTTCCTGCATTAACTCTGAAATACGTTTTTGAAAATGTCCATTGTGTAGTCTGTTTATGCCTAAATCTGTTTCATATGGCAAAGAAAATTTAGTTTTATAAAATTTTAGTTTGCACATTAGTGTCATTGTAACTTAGATTTTTGGAGTGTGATTCAGTACTGTAGCTATGTTCTTAAAAGATACACGGAATATATTGATGTAAAATGTCATGCCTGCAACTTAATCACAAATGATTAAGCAAAAGAAGTAGGCATGTGTAATATACGCAAGAAAGCAAGTGTCACAGAATTCTGACAATTAGTGAACCTAAGTTAAGAGACTATATGGGTGTTCACTATACTATTCTGTAGCTATCAGCTGTTTTCAAATAAAAGGT